GCCAAGTTCCTCAACACTCAGCTAACCAGAAGCGCATTCAAGAGAGAGAAGGTTGCCGCCAACACATGATAAGAAAGGAAATATATTTTGAATTCTTGATCCGTATGAGGAGGAGTAACAACAACAATTAAGTAGAAGACGTAAATGGATGCTGGGATTGTGATTGCTAGTGCAACATCGGATGCAACGGGCAACCAAGCAGGTGGAGGTTCATATACTGGACAAACTACCATCTCACAGCTTATACAGAAATTAAACGGATAAGTTTTACTTGCATCAATGTACTCATCAAGAATCAAACTTCCCTTTGCGCACCAACAGAATCTCTAGTATGTAGTTTCTCCTCCAATCCTTACAGAAAAGAAGGAAAACATTTCATTTATATTATTATTGTACACATCTATCTGTGTGATGTTTATAATCAAGACTGTATCTTCTGGAAAATGAAATGTCCTACAATTGAAAAGTTTCGACAACGTTGAAGTATCCTATAGTAAATGAAAAATATGTGATCGAATCATTCCTTAGTAACGCCAGTAACGCCCGGCGGAGTGTGCGGAAGAGCATCGCTCTTTTTGATTCGGATACATAAAAAATCTTTTGTCATTTAATTCTCTATGCTTCATCATAGTGAAACAGCTCAGAAGCATCAGGTTAAGGAGTCTTTTCCAATTTGGGGCTATCATAGTTAACATTTATGGAATTCTGAATATGCATCGTGTTGAGCCGACGTGATGAACGAATAGTTTCTCCTGTTACCTCAATTTTTGTTTGTTTTTTTCGCCTTCGAAGCGAGCAAGGCAACTGTGAAAGTTAATTAGTGATGAACACGAAGTACACGGAAATTCAACAAATGACAATAATTACTCAACCGAATGAAGGAAGTAAAGTTGGCCTTTCAAATTTTGATATATTTACATTGATATGGGCTATCTCATGCTCAAGTCAGCTCATGTCAGACCGGTTGTTCTCCATAATATGAACACGCATCAACGATTTTCTGCTCTTGTGTATGGCTGTGTTAATTATTTTTTATTTCTAAAATTAATATATCTCAATCATAAAGCATTATTTTCTAATTTCATCATGAAGCTAAAGGATGACGGAGATTCCGACGGACACCTTGGCCGCGGGAATGAACTTCTTCACAGTTGAACAGAAGAGGAACCGAATATCTGCAAAGGAGCAATGAGTACTCTAGATAACTGAAAGTGAAAACCATATTTTAGTCTTTTGCGATAGTAATCGTTCAACATAACCAATGCTACACAATTCATGATACCATGAGTAGATCCCGTAAACCAGGATAATGTTGGAATCCCTGAAATTGATGACTTGGTGCGTTTAGGGTAATGGTCTTCTCACATAAATCCAGCTCAAGTTTGTTGCGTATCAATACGTTCGTTACAACTAAAAGTGATCCATGAGATAGAGTGGGAATTCTGTAAAGATGAAGTAATCGTTGATAGAAAATGACATTCTTCGTTTACAAAACTGTTAAGGCCATGTTGATGATAAGACGAATATGTAACTGTTTTGTAGTTTTCGAGAAAAACTTTGACTTCTCGATGTATACTCTGATGCAGTACAGAAATATGGAACCAAATGTTAAGATATTGAAAACAGGAAAAAATATTAGTAGAAATAAGAGAGAATCCGCAGTCCGTGGATGATACAAATACAGATACTCATATGACAGTATTGGAAAGAAGTGTGGACAGTCCTAAGAGCTAGATAAAGATACTTCAAGCAATCAAACTAACTTTAAGAAGATGTTTCCGAGCTTGATTACTGTCATAGCTGACAGAGAAGTAATAAACAAAAAACGCGGGAACTAAAATATTTCCCAAGCAAAGGGCAAAGAACATTGTGTGAAACACCTTCCTTCTGTGTTCCCCATATAAGATAACAGAGAAGCGGTGAAGGAATACGACCAAGCCCAGTGATCCAACAAGTCCTTGGGCAGCTACATCAACTCCGAAAAGAAAAAAGGATTTGCTTCCTAGATACCCCATCTGAGCTATTATAAACGACGGCATGTATTGAACAATGCCCTGAACAGAGAGAGTAGATAGAATCTGAGAAGAAGACTTACCAGAAGCATATTCAGAATGGAGAAGACCGTAG